CAAATATTTTAACATAACTTAGTGATCTAAGCTATTACTGAAATGTCCACAGTTTCACTCTTTTTTTTTTCTAGATTAAAGAAAACTTTAAAAATCTATTTGCTTTGACATATGACACAATATTTAAGAACTGAAATCATCAATTAAATCACACATCAGAAACATTTCCCTTTGGTAAAAAATATAGTGCTAGACGATGTACACTTTGAAATTGTTGTTAATGTTTAAAATGCAATCTGAAGTGCATATGTTATTTAAAAAACCATAAATTACAAATTTTAAAAGTTTATGAAAAAACTAGCAATCATTACTTAGCAAAGCATTTGCAGAGAAATGTATATCTTTCGTTTTTGTGCCTAAGCATAGTTGTCTGGTATGGAAGCTGAATATGTTATTCTTTATTTTATTTTTGTTCCTGTTCAACACTGAGTAGAACTAAAGGAAACTGTTCATTCTGGGCTAGATTGGCTGCCTGTAATAAAGTAACACAGCTAATATGCGCTTGAACATAGTGAAAGCCTTCCGGATTGTCACTGAAAATAAAAAGGTGAATGTTGACAGGATTTTAGAATTTTTTCTAGGGACTGAGGGAAGCTGAAGTTAAAAATAAAGTCCTCGTATGGTCAACATGTTGGAGGAAATTCAAAGACTCTCATAAAATAAACATATTTTAAGAAGTGTTTTGAATTTCACTGTGTAATTTCTGGCCAACAGAAATTACAGTTGTATCTTTAGAGGGACATTATGTCAGATCAATGGTCATTATGCAAAAAAAAAAAAAAAACCTGAAAACTTGGTGCTTTAACCCATTCTGCTACTAAAATGCAAACCTGAATAGGATAACTTCTCTTTAGATTTGCTACTGGAAAACTTTGAGCCATTGTGTTGCAATTATAAAATACTTGGATTTGATGTTACGGAAGACACGAGAATAGTTCCTTGAGAAAACAAAAAAGCACAAAGCATTGTGCGCTTTGGCAAAAGAATCTCCATGTTGTTTATTAAAAAATGCAAAAGTTTATGTCCAGAAAAGTAAAGGCAATGATCTGAATCATGTGCATAAGCTGAGAGATCCCAGCCCAAAGCGTACTGCAAGTTGTTCTTAGGCTACATTTAATTGCAACCTTTGGACTCTTAAAGCGGAAGGAGACTGTCTGCTCTGCCAGGTAATGGTGATTGTGTGCGTCTGTGTATTCTTACACATATATATAAGCGTGTGTACGTATGCCCCTGTTTTTCTGCAGCATTATTAAGAAAAGCCGTCCATACTTCACCATGTTGTTACATGTGTCTGTCTGCTGATTATAAAATGTGTTAAACAGTATTTAAAAAACAAAAAAATGCAGAGCTGCGCTTTGATTTATTCAGCGAACAAAACATATGCTCACTGTTCTGTTCTATGTAATTCATATGATCAATAAAATTTTCTTTAAAAAGAGCAACTTTGGCATTTAGAAGGATTGTGCTGCTGAGCAGAAAAATGTTTTACTTGTGCTATATGTAGTCAACCTCCATGCTCTTGCACCAAAATAAGTTTTTGGCTTACTAACGTCTTTTTCATATATTTACTATTTTTAATCTTCAGGGTAGAAGCTGTGTATTGCGGCTGTTATCCGTTGTGTCCCAAAGCCTTGGTGTACCCAGAGATATTTCCAGGTAGCTGCCTTGTGGCACAGTTTTTTTGTTGAAATGTAATACGTGATTCATGCTGGAATATAAAGTTTGAGAATAAACTTGAGCAAAAGCAATTGTTTATTTGGCAAGCCAACATGTTAGTGTTAAGGAAAATTTTATGTGTTTTAATACATTAGACGAAGTTTATATTTACCATCTGTTCTTTTAAGATAACACAAAAGCAAGTTTTGAAATAGCATTCTTCATTGTTAGCATACACAACCCATAATGATAGATTTTTGTAAAAAGGTCAGTGATGCTGCAATGGTTTGCAGATTTTTTTGATACGCAGAAAAAAATGGAGGCCTGAAAATCACCCCGAATTATTTAGACAATTTAATACTTAATAGTATGCAACTGTGGTACAGGATACACACTAATGTAGTACCAGTTCTTTGAAAAATCTCATCACTAAATGTATCACATATGCATTGTGTTACATTAGAATAATGTATTTTAATCACCCAAAGGAGATGTCTAAACAGCACAACTACACAGTCTTATTTAGCATTAAACATCCTTGTGAGCTGAGGTAACCTTATAAAATCATGCTTAAATAATGTAAAACACGAGGCGGCACAGAGCAATATGCATTTTTAATTAGTAAAGTGACTAATATCGAGTGTGTGCTTTGAGGTTTTTGTTTCATTAAAAATGTATCTGTTTTTCCTGCAGCTGAATATCTGTATTCTACACCTGAACAGCTTTTTAAAAGGCTTCAGAATTTCTGCAAGAGACCAGATATTGTAAGGAAACATCTCTATAAGGTAGTTGTTCAGAATAGTTTTACATGATATAATGCCATATCGAAGTACAAAGGAAAAAAAAAACCCTTAAAAAAACAACATTTAATTAACATACTAATGTTTAAAGGAAACATGCTTGGGAGGGATATTAGTCGTTACACTAACAAGGATTAATTAAACTAGATGCCAGTTGTATTAACCTAGGTCTTATGAAATACGTGCACTTAATGCATGCTACATGCTTTTTTTTAATTTATTGTTTTCTAAAATGACTGTCCTTTACATTTGGACCCAAGAGGCTTATAAAAATGAACCTGGATTAATGTAACTCATTAGTTTAAAAGGAAAATAAAAGAAAGATCCTACAATTATACTAATGAGGATAAGCCTACCTTCCTATCCTAATTTAATCTTCAGTCCTCAAAAAACGCAGGTGACTGCTATCAGGTAAGCTTTCTCTGCCTTTTGGAAATATTTGAATTATTTTGATAATCATGACTATTTTAACTCTTTGTTTAAATGAGGTGAAAGTTTGCTTTTTTAAGGTACGGTGAACATTAAAAAAGTTTACTGGAAGCATAATTTGCTGGTATTTATCCTGTCTTATTCTTTAGTTATTTATTTAGAGAAAGTAGAGTTTAAGTGGTAGACTGGCCATTCAAGTTTTGACTGGGTGCTCAGTGCCAGACTGCCTTTCAGATGCATGTTTTTATTGCTAGGAGTCGATCTTTCTTTTCTAATTACGTGAATGTAGATGAAGCGCTAAGTTTTATATTATTTCAGTGAAAAGCTATTATTACGTAATGGGGCTTTTATAAAATACCCACTATTTTTTGGCATGCTAATATGTCAGCTCACACCATTGACTGCTCCGTTACGACTTCCACAGTCCTAGATACGCTGTGGACAGGGCAGGTACGCATTCCCCTTGCATGACGAAGGTATTTCAGGTAGCATTTTTTGAAAACCTGAACTGAGCTGAACGTCAGTCGTCTTTAGTGGCCTGGGAGTGCAGAGCCAGAAGTTACTTCTCGTATTACCTGTTCGGTGCAAAGATGGTATCTCCTCTAGCCCCTTGGTTGTAGCCATGTGGGCACACTGTTAATGATCAGGTCGAGCAATCTCCCTCCTCATTTGGCCGCTTCTGCGTCTAACAGGACTGGCCTCTTTTCCCACGCTTCTGCCCCCGTGGGTCCTGCCGTGTGTCGGCTGGCCCCCCCCCCCCTCCCGCATAGTTTCGCCCGTGGTCGACTTTTTTGGTGACCTAAAAATAGACATTTACATAATGGTACGTCAAAGAAGATGTCGTTTCTGCAGGAAACAGTTAAACTTCAAGAAAAAAAGGAGAGAACCAAAAACGCAATTTAACACCCAATTTCAAGCTCATTATCTTTCATTGTCTATTAACTTGGCAATGGTTCAGAAGGTAGCTCATAATAGTTTAAAATGCTGACTGAACACTTCCAGCGTTCAGCGTTCCTTCTTGAGTCAATAGGATTGCATAGTTAGACATGGTGCCTTCAAAGAGAAGACAGTCCTTAAACGTTTACCTTGGCGTTTGCCAACGCTTCAAGCTCGGCTATTAGTTGCGTTCACATGGATCTTCTGTATGCGCGCAGCTCCCCAGATGCTCCGCAAAGCCAAGGCCGGCCTGCTAAGAATGGAAAGTAGTGACAGAACAAATACTGAGGTCAAAAGAGTAGAGTTTTAAAATGTGGCACAGGGAGCGAGGCGTGCGCAAGTCCCGTGAGCTAGACGCCTCGTTTGCTCCAAGCGCCTTCTTTTAAAGAACAAAACCCGTGCCCCGGAATGGTTTGGAGGCAGAGTGCCACCGCAAGAAATAAAGGTGTTTATCCTGTCGCTTGTGCCTTGACTCGTACGTGGTCAACAGCGCGGCTCCGTTGGGAAGTTGTGACTGTTTGAACTACGGCGTGCAACAGGTAGCAGTTAAGTAGAACCGGGGGGACCATTTCCAAATGAGAAAACCTGGGCCTAGTCCAGAACCCGCAAAGGCCGGTGAAAAGCCCCCCGTTGTCTTTAACGGGCTTTGGATCGGTTCTGAGAATATTATCAGGGTTGTCTTTTTGTACCTACACCCAACACATGCTAATTCTTTATTTTGCAACTAAACTCACCGTAAAACCTTCTAGAAAAATGCTAACTTCGATGGGTGCTGCGAGTGTGGTTGTAGTTAGAAGGATGCTGCTTTTAGGAAGCTGAGAAGAGTGAAACCGTGAATGGTGCACAGCTCTTTGATTTTCAAAGACGGGAATAATATCATGTGCTGTCGTGGAAAAGAAAAAGCGACCCCTAGCACAGCAATGCCTAGTAACTGGCTACTTTTCTTTCAGAAATCTTTCTGACGTGCTCCATACCTGAAGCTCATTAAATAGTTGTGAATTCTTGAAAAGAAAGGAAAAATGCTTTAAAAGCAAATAGTACTTTACTATTTAGGGATTCTGCTTTATAGATCAGGAAGTAATCATCATCGGAAGCACCTTGGGTTATGTTTTTACATATCGTTGCTGTTTTGGTTATTAAGGATATCCAAAATGTTCAGGCAGCTCTGAATAACAGACAGTTATTCCTTCGGTTGTCCTCAGTGCTTGCAGAGGGAAGATAAATGACAGGAAGGCAGGCACGTTAGGTAACGGGACACAGTGCAATATCCCCGTGAAAATGCACAGACCAACACATTAAATTGCAATAGCTTAACTCTACGGAGCAGAGTCAGGCTTGCAGACTTTTAAAAATGTACATAATGTAAGCACCTATGAAAACCTTTCCAAATGATATATTACTCACCCTGTGTGTTTCTGTGGTGCCAAAGGCTCTTTTGAATTTGGATATTGCCTTCTACCGGTTGTTAACAGAAGATGGAGATCTGCGGGAAGCAGACTTCATTTGTTATCAAGTACTTGTTCTAGTCTAGTTTTAATGAATCAAAAGTTCCTCTTTGGTTCTGGGTATTTGTGGTTGCCAAACTAAGTGCCAGAATGAAGCAAAGAACAACCACAGGGCACGAGTTTCCATTAGAGGATGCCATAGGACCTGTCAGCATTTGCAAGCTCCCCCAGTAGGGCTTTAAAAAAAAAAAAAAATAAGGCTTCAAATATTTGTTTCTGCATTATTTTCTTTACGTTTACCTTTCAGTTTCCTCAGTTCAGTTTCCTAATTTAAAACAGTATGTATAAAAAAGTATACAGTGGAAAGGGACAAGAGGAGTTGCCAAAAGCCAGGCATGGAAGGAGCTGACAACTTTAAATAATCTCTCCCAGCCCTCCCAGCTGAATGAGTGCCGGCTGACGTGCTGTCGGCTCGGGTTCCTACAGAAAAAAATCTCCTCTCACTCAGACTTGTTTAATGGAGAAAAGAATTTGGCCCACTTTCTGACATCCATCTTATTATTTCCATCACACTCCAGAAGCTCACCTGCCTATGAAAAGACACATGGCATGGTTTTTTTCTCACTTACACCACTGCAGAAGATCAGTGCCTCTCCCGAATTCAAAGAAATTAAACTACTGTAAAATCAAATTAAGATCTCCCTTAGACCTTAGACATCTGAATTGTTTCCAGTCTCAGGATTTGGCTGTATAGAGCAGTTTTAGCAAAATTTTCTTTTTTTTCTCCTTTTCTTTTTGCTTTGATTGAGATAAAGCAATACTTTTAATATTTCAGGGAAACTGCGGTAGATGGGAAAACTGTTTTCCATCCAGTTTAACTATTTCGGCACAGGTAGGAAGGCAGCAGGAGTCCTTCTTAGCAACGTGCTGCAGTTCCTTGTAGTCCTCATAAGAGCTGGGGAAGATTTCTGCGTTTCCTCTGCTCTTACCCCTACCCATTCCCCTGCACAACTCCATGAGAAATTCATTTTCCTGCTATTCGTTCAGCTGCTGATCTGGATCAGCACATCACACATTTAGTGGGAGAAGGTATTGGGTCCCGGATATAGGTAGAAATAGGGTTATTACAGGTCTTCCACAGTTAGAGATTAACGCTGGAGTTGGAGATTTTATAATCGTTCATAATCTTCTTTTAGTTTTAGCTGTTGTCGTTCTGCATATAGTAGTTGCCCATTGGACATCAGGCCCTTAGGATCCTGCGTTCTTGGTTTTGGTAGCTTTCCATAGCAAGGAGCTTCATTGCGTGTTTGCACGCTTAGTTAAAAGCATTTCCTTTAATCAGCGTGGAGTTTCCCTACTGTCGTTTTCATTGAGGGTCTCCTTGTTCTTGAATTGTTAGCCTGCAAACAGAAGCTCCCCATCTATCTTTTCGGTGCCATTCATTATTTTATAAACATTTGTCAAACACTTACAGTACGTTGGTCTTTTCAGTCTCTCCTCATGAATGTTATTCCGTGTTTATGTTCTCATCTCCCATCATTCAGCCCATTCTGATGCTCGAGAGCTGTCTCATGATGGGGTGATCATTACTTGACAGAGTATTCTAGACCATGCCATCAATTTATGCCTTCTGTGATCATATTCAACCTGTTCCTTAGGCAGCCATACTTGCTGTCTGCTGTTTAACCAGGAACGTATATTGAGCAGATATTTGTTTATAGTGTTCTCCGGATCTTTTGTCCCAAGCTGACAAGATTAATTTAGAGCTCTATAGGGTATGTGGATAGTGCAAATATTTCCGTCCATCCTGCTGACTTTCCGCTCATCAGCAGAGCAGTTTTGCAGAGCAAGAAGGCACAAAATTGAATTTTTGCTTGTACCTAGTTAGCAGGGGGTACAGGTGTGAAGGGATTTGGAAGCACAGGTGGGAAACCTGCTTTCCTCTTAAGATGCTAATTTTCCACCGAGTGCAATTTTAAGTGGTTTCAGAAATATTCTAAATATGCCTGTATGGGCAGCGTTATTCCAGCCAGGGAACTCTGGAGTGTAAGATGGTGTGTTCATGCTCTCCTGTCGGTGTCAGTGCTGGAAAGAGCTGCTTAGGCACAGGTCGTTAAGGAAAGTGTATGCGAGATAAGGATTTCCTATGTGAAAGAAGTCTTTGGTTACTTATTTCGAGCACAGAATGAGAATAATTTAGGAAGGGACCTCTGGAGGTCATCTGGTCCAGCCTCTGCTCAAGGCAGGGCCAGCTTCAAATTTGGATCTAACTTCAAAGTTGGATTAGGTTGCTCAGGGCCGTATCCAGGTTAGTTTTGAAGTTTGGACATTTTTCATTGCCATCTATATAGCTGATACGGCTGAAGCTCTGGCTAGGTTAGGATGTTTCCAAGGGTGGGAAGATCTGCTGGAACGTGGAATACGATTTTTGCATTTTAGGCCAACCTGAGGTCTTAAGGCTCCACATAGGCCTAGAAACTGCCATGCTAGAGCCAAGTATGCTAGGTAGTGCAAATCCTCACCGCAGAAGTCAGGAGCTAGCAGGGCTGTTCAGGTTGCCTTCTGGGACATTCTGGGACCCAGCAATATATGTACCCAGGCTGGGAAACCCTGAGGAGCCACTGTCCTTTCCTGCGTCTGAACTTCTCCCAGGGCTTGGCTTTCTGTGGGCTCTGGGGTATATATCTAGGGGCTTTCAGCGCTCCGCAAATTTTGGTGCGTAGCTCTTGGCGTTTGGCTACGTTCGCAGAGCAGGAAGAAAGCATTCATTAAGAAATGGCAGTTTTGTGTCCATCTTTCAGCATAAACGCAAGGACTTTGAACTTTTTATTATAACAATGTTAGATAGCTTCCAATTTAGTTTTAGAAAGTAAATGAAAACTGGCAGATGAAGCACAGCTGCTACAGAACGGTAGATGGAGAAATGGGTCAAAGGAATATGATTGACTTTGGAGGAAAAGTTGCAGAAAGAATGAAAACTTTTTTTTTTTCTTCCAGTAAAATATATCCAAACTACCTTGAGAAAGAGAGCCTGGAACTCTTTTCCTACGGCTGGAGTTGGTCAGTGTGTTCTGAACTGTCCTCTCCTAGTGAAAGGGTGTCTTGTGTAAAACTGCATCCCTCATTTGATGCTTTTCTTTTTGTTTAAAGACAGAAAGAAAGAAATTAGTTTTAAAATGAAGAAAATGCTTTACTGCAAGCAGCTTTGCACCTTGACTCTTCCTATCTTATGCTCACTTGCAAAGGGAAGGAGCTGGGTCACAAAGAGAAGCTGACCCGGTACAAATTGACTCTATAAATCGCTCTGGTTTCTCGCATTCCCAATCTCAGTTTTTGTGCCAATTTTAATTGCACAAATTAATTTTGTTAAGGTAATATTAAAAATGTTAAAACGTTCACCAAATCGGTACTGTCTGTTCCAACGCCAACTGTCGTGAAGCAATAGGTCTGAATGAATGAACAGTCCTTTAATAAAGTCTAGTGGTTAACTCTGAAGTCTAATGATGACCATGTAAATATTAATTATTTCGGTTCTGCTCTTAGGACGTGAAAAACAAGAAGGTTGATTATAGCATAAAAGATATCGTATTGCTACTGACGTCTTGATCTAATGCCTCTCCTTCATGGGAAGATCCTGCTTTATGTGAGATTGCTGATTTGGTCTGGGCTTGTTTAGAAACTGTTGACTGACAGATGCTCTATACCTTGAGAAAGCGACCGCCCAAACCTTTGAAAAGTTATCACCAAAAATCTAAATATATCTGTATGCGTAATGTTACGAAGTTGCTACTTTGCTAGAGTTAAAAACCCAGACGCTCATCCACGCATTTGCGCGCGAACCAAGTTGCCACGTGCAAACGTGAAGCGCGCAACAAAACCGGCGTGCAAACGTGCGCGCTCCGAGGTTGCTCTGAAACACAGGCAAAAGGGAGGCCGGCGGCGGCGAACCCGGCGCATGAGCCGCTCCTACCGGTTCTTAGTCCTGCCGCACGCCAAGGTGGGGAGCCG